TACAGGATTAAAGCCAAGTGTTTTAGCTCTGCAGTCAGCCCTTCAATGGCTATTCCCAAACAACCTCTCCAGCCCTCTCCTCCACCACTTACTCACCTTGCTCTGAACAGCATGTCTTCTTTCTGAGCCATCCCAGGTGGATCCACCTCTCTCCTGCCATTCTGTCTCTCCAAATCTCACCTGTCTTCTGAGGTGCTCTGCAGCACCCTTCCCCGCAATGCCTTCTCTGGTCTTCCTGGCCTCGAGTGCTCATTCCTGCTGTAGAACAGCCAGAGCCTTTTCTGTTCACCCCTCAACACACTGGGTGGTCCGCAGCAGGGGTATCTCCTGGGAGATGTTAGAAATGCAGATTCTCAGGCCCCACTTGCAAGCCATGGAATCAGAACTCACATTTCTTTTTTTTTTTTAAGATTTAATTTTTTATGCATACAAGAACTGGGGTACAGGCCAGAGGCGTGGGGGTGGGAGGATCCAACAGAGACAGAGTGGGGAACAGAACAAGCAGATTGACTGAAATACACTGCTGAGGGGAGCAGTGGGCGAGTCAGGAGAGGTCTGCTGCGCTATGTGGGTTACTCCCTGGCCGGGGATCGAACTCGGGCTGCGGTGGCTGTGGATTGCTTCATAGGTTGCGTCTTAACCCCTTGCCCCACCAGGGAGGCCCAGAACTCACATTTCAATAAGATATCTAGGTGGCGTGTGTGCACATTCTGAGAAGCACTGGACACTACATTCATTGAGGGCAGGATCTTGCTTCTGTTTGTGCGACCTTTGGCTCAGACTGGAATTTTCAAGCTCCAGGTCTAACAGCCCCATCAAGTGGCAGGTGCTGCATCTAGCCAGATTCCAGGCACTATGAGAGCAGTAGCAATGGCCGGGGAGGTCATGTCCCTCCCGCCTGCAGTCATGCCCCTCAAGGTTCCAGAACTCAAGCTCTGTACACCTGACTCTGGAAAGCACTCTTGTGACATGAGGCAGAACTGATCAATAAAAAGGTAGTTACCCCAGCATGAAACAGAACTTTTCCCTTTTCACTAAATACCTTTGGTGAGAATATCTGTTTGCTGTATGTTATGAAAAGAAAAAATATTTAAAATTTTATCTTTCTGATAACATTAAAACAGTTTCTAAAGTGCTTAATTTTAGAAAACACAGCAGGTCACTTGAAGAAAATAAAAATGACTCACAATTCTACTATCCAGCTATAAATAGTTAAGTTTAATGTTTATTTAAATTGTCATTTATTTATACAACAAATATTTACAGAGCCTACCCCTACTATATGCCAGACCTGTGCCAGGCACTGAGGATTCAGTGTGAAGAAGGATGACATGGTTCCTATTTTTAAGCAGCTCACAGTCAGGGGGTGGGGTGTGGGAGACAGGCACTGAACAACTTAGGAATGACAGTGTATTAGTTTCCCAGGGTAGCTGTAACAAAGTACCACGAGCTAGGTTAATTTAAAAAAAAGAAGAAATTTATTGTATCAGGTTCTGGAGGCTAGAAGTCTGAGAGCAAGGTTCTGGCAGGTCGGTTCCTTTTGAGAGAGCCTGTTCCATGACCCTCTTCTAGCTCCTGGTGGCAGCCGGCCATCCTGGGCGTTCCTTGGCCTGTCGCTGCATCTTTCCAGTCTCTACCTCTGCTGTCACATGGCCTTTTCCCTGTGTGTCCCTATCTTCACATGGCCATCTTCTTCCAAGGACACCAGTCCTGTTAGGACCCATCCGACTCTAGTACCACCTCAACTCACCTGCAATGACCCTGTGGCCTAACAAGGTCATATTCTGAGGTGCCATGGGTTAGAACCTCAACATATCTTTTTTTTTAAAAGATTCTTTTTGTTTTTTAAAGATTTATTAATTTATTTATACAAGCACTGAGTACAGTCAGAAGCGCGGGAGGGTGAGAGAATTCACCAGAGCCAGAGCGGGGAGCAGAGCAGGCAGAAGGACTGAAGTACACTGCTGAGGGGAGCAGCGGGCGGCAGGAGAGGTCTGCGCGCCATGTGGGACCCTCCTCCGGTGGCCGAAGAGCAGCCGGGGATCGAACTGGCACTGCAGAGGCTGCGGGGAGCTTCGCAACCCAGCGCTCAACCGCTGCGCCACCGGGGAGGCCCCCTCAACATATCTTTTGGGGTGAACACAGCTCAACCTGTAAGTGGCAGGGACAGTGCAGAGTCAGGGGGAGCACACAGGGTGGGGTGGGGAGCTAACCTCATCTGAGAAGACTCTCCTAGGAAATCACATTCAAGCTGGTACTGAGCAATGAGTTGGGATTCCCCAGGCAAAGGTGCCTCAGAAGAGGACGTGGGGAAGGGCTGCGGAAGAGCATTCCAGGCAGATGAAGTGGTGTTTGGAGGAGTGAAGAGAAGGCAAGTGCACTGGGCACATGCACAGGATGGGGGGTCACTTGACTGAGGGCCTTGGTGGGGGGTTACTTTCTCCGGAGGAGAGGGAGAGCTAAGGGAGGCCGTCACGCAGGAGTGATTCATTCTGCTTTGTGAGCTGTCTCCTCTCAAAACTGAGCAGACTGAAAGCTGCGTTGCTCTTCCGTGTCCCCAGTTCTGAGGGAGGATGCATGGCAGTGTCCTCAGGAGCCCCCCGGCTGAGAGAGGACACACGATGGCCCCATCCAAGGAAGCAAGGCATGGCCGTGCTCCCCGCGGCCTCGAGTCCAAGTGTGAGGACAAGCCCCGCCCTCAGAGCCTTGCTCTGACAGCAGACAGGGCTCACCCAGCTCCAGCTCACCCTTACTCTTGGGTGGCCCAAGTCCTTAGAGTCCGGGGGACTCAGATTGGAGCCAGCCACCCCACTCCCTTCCCTGCACTGAGCACTGCCTCCGGGGAAATGCATGACCTTCGTGTGTCCCTGAGACCAGAGGCCCTGATGCCGGGGAGACTAGGTTTGCAGGGGCCACATCCCAGCATCCTGCTCCCCTCAAGGGATGTCTGGCTGTTGCTTTCCTGTGCCGGACCTGGCCTGTCTGGGGCTCAGCCCAGCCCTTACCACGCGCTCAGAGGCGAGGCCTGTCTGACTCTGTGCCGGGAACGTGAGCCCCCTGCCCAAAGCTGCCTGTCCCCCCTCGCCCGGGCTGGGTGGAGAAGTGGGTCAGCTCCGTAGTCATGGTGACAGCGGCTGCTCCCTGCCAGCTTCTCGTCTCACCACAAACCTCACCGATGCGCTCCTTTGTCCAGCCTGCGGGGATGGGGGCCGGGAGGGTGAGATCGGGGGCTGGAGTGTGTTTGAGTGTGTGTGTGCATGCGCACGTGTGTGTGCGCGCGTGTGTTCAAGCACACCCAAGTGCCTGCACAGAGCTGGTGTGTGTCCCCGAGCACAGGGAACCCACAGATGCGGGTAAGATTCTGTCCACCTGTCCACTTCCTGGCCCTCTGAAGGGATGGGGCTCTTCCTGCCTCTCTGGGTCAGGAAAGGGCCGGCGGAGGGGGGGGGTGTGGGGTTGGGGGAGAGAGAGAGAGAGAGAGTGTGTGTGCAAGTGCCTGTGCACAGGTTGAGTGTGTGAATGCCTGTGGCTATCAGTACAGCTTCTGTGTGCTTTGTGTGGATGAGCATCTGGGGGGTACGTGTACCTCCAGGCACATGTCTTTAGTGGTGTATCATCTGGTGGGTCTGTATGTTTGTGATGACAGTGGCAACTCTGTAATTCTGTATCCTTTGTCTCTTCCCTTGTATGTATAATGTTCATCTGAGCCAGGTTTGGGGAGATAAAGGTGGCATGAGCGGGAGAGGAGCAGGAGAGGAGCAGGCATAGTGCTCCCACTTGGGCTGGGTGTGCTCCGGGCCCTGCCTACCTCCCTTGCCGCGTACCCGCCCTGGAACCCACTCATTTCTCCTTTACTGGAAAAAGGAAAGGTAGAGGCAAGAGGACCTTCCCCTATCCCGTGATGCAGGCTTTGGCCTCTCCCATGGCACAGATTGGCATCAACAATGTGGCAGGCAGCTCTGGCACTGGATGGGGGTAGGAGCAGGGGTCTCAAAGGCCAGACCCAGCATCCAGAGTGGGGCCAGGAGCTGAGAGGCTGACAGGACATAGCACAGCCTCACATGCCAGCTCCCTTCCCCACTGAGAGGTGCAGGGACCCAGAGTCACTTACCTGGCTCAGTCCGAAGCCGCAGGGCTAGAGCGGGAGGTGACGCTGTGGAGCCGGAGCCCACCTGAGAAGTGCCTGTACCTGGTGTGTGAGCCGCCCACTAAGCACTAACACCTATGCGGTCCTTGCTCCTTTCCAAAGTAAAGGGGCAGAATGCGTAGTAGTAATTGTCCAGAATGGCACCCAGCTGTGTGCATTTAGCACGGATATGCTTAATACATACACATTCTTTTGTAATAGTTCATCTCGGAACCCTAAGGCAGGCATTGTTATCCCACTTTAGAGATGAGGAGTGGTAGACTCAGGGTGCGGGAGGGGCTTGTGAAAGAAATTGTTCTGCATCATGAGGCTCGTAAGTGGCAGATCTAGGTGTTGAGCCAAGACTGTCTACCTCCAAAATCCGTGCTGCTAATCATTGTGCTTTCCTGCCCCTTGTTTTCTCAACTGGAGAGTCAGGCTGGATTCAGGTAGCAGATAGAAGATTTTATGGAAGAGGAGACAGGTTCAGAGATACTTGGGGTCCCATGCAGGGAGTGGAGCCAGGGGTGTCCCCCTGCTGTTCTCCTGGCTGCTGGGCATGTCACTGTTGTGTCTGGAGAGGGACACAGACCCTTTTAATCAGGGGAAGGATAGAGGAAGAACAGGATCTAGAGCTCCTTAGCAACTGGACCCGGGTAAGTCCCTTGTGTGAAAACTCTTAAAGTTGTGAGTCAGGCTTCAGCACTAACAGTTTGACATCAAGGATCCTACACGCTGATTAGGGGGCCCAGGAGTTAGGACAGTTGGACACAGGAGGAAACAAATAATTCTAAAAAATTATTCCATGAGCTTCTGGGAGTTGTGAGGACAGATGTCTTCACTAGCTCTTCTCAGCCTGCCTCTTTCCTTCCAGACTCTTATCACATCACCTCCTCCTGGCAGCTACCCTGATTGCCTTCACCTCCATTCTTGAAAACTGGGATCTCAGCAGAAGGTGACTGACACCTTGAGTAAGTGCCCTCGTGGCCTGCTGCTAAGAGGGGCAAGCCCCCTGGGATGCGGAACACCACACTCAGATTCATCAGTTCGGTGAGTTTGGGTTTTTTTGAGGTGAGACATGGGGAGTTTTCTTGAGGTGAGACAGGTGTTGTGGGACCTGGAAGTTAGATTTGGGTTGGAACTTGGGTTTGTCACCATCTTTCTATGTGACCCCAGGTGTCTCTTGCCCATTCTGGACCTTGATTTCCTACTCTGCAAAATCAAAGACTCAGGCTGGAATAGGGACACAAGTTGGTTTTAACTCTGTTTTTGTTTTATTGCATTTTAAAATGATGGGTTTATTAGGAAAAGGAGAAAGAAAAAGAGAAGCACCTGCATAGTCACAGGTGGGCAGGAGAGCGGCCTGGTTTTAACTCTTGAGCTGGCTCTCATCCGTTAGTGCTGGGGCAGCACGTGGAGGAGAATTCTGAGGTTAGATCTGCCTTCAGTGGGAAAGATGGACAGACTGGTGATGTCTGCTGTGGGTGGTGGCTGGAAGAGGTCATTTGCCATCCCTTCCAGCCTAGCAGTTCTTACTGTGTGACAGAAACCTTGTTTTTTCCAGTTGAAAAGCAGTTAGGCTCATCTTGGCCTCACGCACTCTCATAAAAGGGTCCTCATCTGGTGAAACCCCTGGCCAACGGCACCAAGGAGGCCCAGATAGGCCCTGGACCAGACTCCTGCTGCTCTCATGACTCAGGAGGTTTGGCAGGCCCTTAGGATATTAGCCCCAGAATGCAAGCCAAACATTGAGGGCTACAAGAAAGCACGAGGCTTATCCATGGGAAGCTTGGAAGGTGGGGTTGTGGCGGGGCGGGAGCCCTCCATCCCTCGTGAGGGGTGTCTGCAGGGAGAACTTCAGAGCGAGGGGCCTGAACCAGCGAGATCAGGCAGGTTTCCTTCCTTGGGGTGCCATGAACTAGGCTGGGAAAGAGTCCTGTTTGGAGGCAAGGAATTATTGAAATGACTTTCGTGCAAAGGATGTGGCTCGTGTAGCACTGTTTTAGAACAACCAGCGTGTGAGGTGCTGTGTTCTGTGTCCTGCTGCCCCTCGCCCCTCTGTCCCTGTCTCTGCCGGATGCTCTCTTCCGTGCCCGTGGGCTGCTGGCTCGGTGGTTGCTGGACTGCCCTCCTCTTAGCGGCAGGTGGTCAACTCTGTCTTGCTGTCTCATCCTCGGGCTAGACTGGCCACCAGAGAAGCAGCTAGAACCCCCAGTCTGAGTCTGATGCTGCAGTATGTGCTTACAGTCCAATCGCCCAGTTCACAGGACATTTCCCAGTCACCTCATCTGACCCCTTTGTTTCACACAGACATGAGGAGACCAGGGCCCAGAGGCGGTGACACGAGCCATCTGCACGGTCAGAGGTGGAGCGTGGCTCCGGCACACAGCCCTGGATTTCAGACGATCTGCTTGTCAGGCTCCCTTCATTATTCATGAGGAAACATGAGCCCCTGGGTTGCCAGGGTCAGGAATTTTGTCCCTTACCCTGTTCCCATCTACTCACCCCTGGGAGTGGTGTTTTAGAGCTTCCTGTAGGTTGCACTGGGAAAGCAGCTTCTCCAGCTGTGCTCTCTGGTCTGCACTGCCCCTGAGATATTCACACCAGTTGCAGGAACCTGGTAGGGGGGAGGGGGAGCGGTTAGTCTCCTTGCCCTTTTCTGTTTTCTCAAAGAGCCCAGAGACCCAGGGCAGTAGGGATGGGCCTGAGCAGCAGGGATGTGCCCTCCTCCAGCTGAGCTCTGGGTTGAAGGAGTTGGAGCTGCTGAGCGTCTGTCTCTTTGTGGAAACAGGATGTGGGTTTGAGTCCACTTGCCACTTCTTTTTTTTTTTTTTAAAGATTTATTTATTTATACAAGAACCGGGGTACAGGCCAGATGTGCGGGAGGGTGAGAGGATTCAACAGAGACAGAACAGGGAACAGAACAGGCAGACTGACAAAATACATTGCTGAGGGGAGCAGCGGGCAAGACAGGAGAGGTCTGCTCGCCATGTGGGTTCCTCTGAGGCCAATGGGAATTGAACCGGCACTGCAGAGGCTGCAGACAGCTTCACAGTGCTGTGCTCAACCGCCTGCACCACCAGGGAGGTCCTCCACTTGCCACTTCTTAACTGAGTGGTATGGGCAAGGCCTTTGATTCTCTGAGACTCAATTTTCTCATCTGCCAGACAGAGACATTTATACATGTAACAGAAATATTTTGAAGAGTAAATTAGGCTTATATAGTAGCTGATTCAGAGTAAGATGAGCCCTGTCCCACCATTCACCAAAACACCAGGCAGATACCCCCCAAAACTACACAAACTGGCACTGGAGGTGGAAACTAAAGAGACGAGATCATCACAGGCCCAAGTCCAGGGGGACTTTCCATTAGCTACAAGGTTGATGGGGGATGGATGGAGAAATATAATCCGGGGCTCTGCACACGTCACAGGGTGAGCAAGAACAGTCCAGACAGCCACAGAGAAGGCAAAACACAGCTTTGACTCATCCCCACTGCCAGCCATAATTTGCTAGGCTGGCAGGAGCCACGCTGACCTGGAGACAAGGCAACCAGCCACTAAACTGCCCGCGACCGTCCTCCTCGTGAGCTGAGCTGGCATGGGGCCTTCCCTTTTGCCACCCCTGTTTTTCTTCCCTTTCTGAGTCCTCTTGCAAAGTCGGATTCCCCAGGTCCCAGCAAAGTGCCCTGTGCCCTGGGATGGGATGTGCACTGTGGGCCGGGACAGAGCCAGGCTGAACCGGCTGGGTGCACTACCTGCTGGGGCAGCAATCTTTCCTGTAAAGGCCGAGCAGAGATGGGCTGCAGTGCTGAGCCTTGGGCCAAGTCTGGAGGCCGACAGCAGGGGGCCCGCCTGGTACAAGCCACAGCCGAAGATGCCGCTGTCTCGCTCCTCAAGAGTGGCTTCCGGCACCCTCTGTCCTCTTCCCTAGACTCATTGGAAGGATCATTAAATATTAATTGCATAATTAGTTATTTACTGTCTCCCTCTCCTCCTGGAGTGGAGGCTTTGGGAGGGCAGGACCAAGCTGGCCCAGCTCACTGCCATATCCTTGGTTTTCAGCATAGACCTTGGAATTTTAAGGGCTTAAATGTTTGTTGATTGCTGCTTTGAAAGGAATTTGACAATCAATATTATTCCAAGAATCAAAAAAAAAATGTTTATGCCCTCAATATCAGGTAGGATACTCTTGGGTGTAACAAAACTCTGATTCAGACTGGCTTAAGGAATGGAAAACACATTATCTCACGTAGCTGGAAGACCAGAAAAAGGCAGGCTCCAGCTGTGGCCTGAGGTTCTTTCTGTGTCTGGGTTGTACAGCCCTCAGCAACACTGGCTTCCTCTTAGGGCTGGGCCCTCTCTTGGGGAGGGTAGTGAGGGAAAGCGGGGGGTGAGGGGGGGGTGGAGAAAGAGAGAGAGAGCGAGAGGAACACCAAAGACAGAGAGACTATCTCTTTTGTAAGCGTGGAATCCAGATCTTCCCCTTAAGTAGAATCAGGCCACCTCAGTCACATGCCCACCAGTAGCAAGGTGAATGCCCCTCACCAACTAGCTTAAACCACTCCAGATCTGCCTCTAAAACAAGGGCTGGGGTGCTACCTGGATGAAACCACTGCTCTGCCAGAAAGCAGGAAGGGAGAATGGATGTTGGGGAAGCCACCAAAAGTGTCCATACCCCCTGGCTCACTCCCTCCATTTCTGGGAATTGTGAGGAAATAAACAGATAAGATCAATGTAGAAACATGGTTATTGCAATGTTGTTTAAATGACAGAAGACAGAGAAGCAGAGTCAGAGGGAGAGAGAAAAAAGTTAGACCTGATCTAAGAAGTAATGGTATTGAAATATTTAAGTCAATTATGCTACCTGCATGCAAGGGACTATTAGGGTGGCATTAAAACATTTATACAAAGTGTTGATTACATCGGGAAATGCTTGTAATAAATTAAATGAAAAAATACTAGGATGTGAAATTGTATTTGCAGTATGACTTCAATTATTTTTTTACGTGCACAGCAAAGAGACGGGGAAGAAATAGTTTAAAATGTCTATAGAGGCCGCCTCTCAGTGGTGTGATTAGGGTGATTTTTGCTGGCTTCTCTATGTTTTCAAGCACGACTTCTTGCACAGCTGAGTGGGCTGGAGCCAGTTTTTTTCCCTGCCTGTTCTCATTATTGGCTGTGAAAATAGCAATCACCCTTACTGAATATTTACTCTATGCCTGACGCTGTTCTGGGCACTTTTACACACACTTTCTAACTTAATCCTTACAACAATCCTGTGAGTTTAGTGCTTTTATTTTTCGTTTTGCTGAGATAGTCACTGAAATTGCAAGCTGTTCAGCCAAGGTCATGTAGCTGGTGTGCGGAACCCCTTGGAATTCAAGAGTGGCCCTTATGACTCAGCCTCTGTCTTCACCACCAGACCAGCCACTTGTCTGGGCAGCTGTGTGCCAACAAGAATAGCCCCATTTACTGAATGAGAATCTGTATACCCTTTGGGTTTACTTGTTCAGTTAGTCCTCACCACCTCAGAGAGGCTGAGCGCCTTGCCTAAGGCCACACAGCTAGGAAGTGGCATCTGCAGCGAGTGTCCCTGGCTCTGATGTGGGCTCCCTTTGTCTCTCCCCACCCCACAGAGTTGCCTGAGATCCTGCTACCCCACAGACCATGTTTAACGGGGAGCCAGGTCCGGCCTCGGCTGCGGCCTCCAGGAATGTGGTGAGGAGCTCCAGCATCAGCGGGGAGATCTGCGGATCCCAGCAGTCTGGGGGCGGGACTGGGACCACCACAGCCAAGAAGCGCCGCAGCAGCCTCGGGGCCAAGATGGTGGCCATCGTGGGCCTGACGCAGTGGAGCAAGAGCTCGCTCCAGCTTCCCCAGCCTGGTGAGGCGACGCGAGGGGGGCACCTTGAAACGACAGGGAACCCAGGACTCTCCTGATGGCACCCCACACCCACAAACACTGAGGTGGCACTTACCACATACCAGGTGTGGTTTGGGCCCAGTGCAAGTCCTGGCTCACTGAGTCTGCACAGAACTCTAGGAGGCCTTTGGGAAGCACAGAGGAGAGAAGGAGGAGGCCCCTGGCTATGTAGCTAGTGGGCGCTAGAGGCTGGATTCAGATCCTGGCAGCTGCTTCTCAGCTCATGCTCCTCACCTTTACACTCTGCCACCTCCATGCACAGACTTACACAATAATCAGCAATTATTTATTAAACAGCCACTGTGTTCCTCGTAGGATGCTAGGTGACACCACCAATTCACAGATACACCTGCATGGTTTAGTCTCACCTGTTGTCTCTGAGTTTCCTAAGAACAAACAGCCACACAAATGTACCCACAGTCACACACACGTTACAGAGATACATGCCTTGTGTGATCACATACACCGCAAGCTCCGCCCCTCGGGTAAGCCTCCCACTGCCAGGAAGTACAAGGCAGATATTAATGCTGTGCATGGCCACAAATAAAGCAAATAACACAGACAAGACACAGCCCCCTGAGTCCGATGCACAGACCTAGGTCAGCGAATGTGCACGTACTTGTGCACATACACATGTGTGCATACACACACACTCTGATACCTGCGGTCACAGAAGCACGTGGCACACATGTATGCACGTACCCCATAGAGCCACACTGTCACACGCACCTTGAGTTGCTGCATCCTGATCAGTGTGTGACACTTCTAGACATCTAGTTATATGGAGCCCCAGTCAGATGGGCAGTGACCCACCTAGTCACAGTCACACCCGGACCCCAGTTCACAAAGGAGCCAGCCCTCCTCACTTTGTGGCATCAGTCCAGACACCAGCTGGTTTTGTTTTAAAATCTCTTCCTGCTTATTTTGCTCAGAGTAACAACTTCCCCCAAGAAACCTTCAAATAGGCAGCTGGATGGGGGTGGTGAGGGGGCGGGGGCACCGGAGGATCCAGGGAGAATGCTCATCAAGACTTCCAGTTGGGGGCTGGGGGTGGGGGACTTTTCCAGGCCTTAAAATAGATTTTTACAAAGCCCTCCACAGGAGCATGTAGGATGGTCTTTTCCAGTATTCAGGCTATGATGTGGTATCTGGCTCGGAAATGTTAGATTGGGACTGGGCTTCAGGTTGTCAGTACCATGGGGTGGGCAGTGTAGACCTGGCACTAGGGAGTCAAGGAGATGGGGCTCTGGGGATCCTAGGGGGCAGCTACAGAACTAAGCAATGGCATTAAGAGTCAGGGATTAAGATTAGGTTGAGGAGAAGCCGGGCCTTGTGAGTCTGATCAAGACATCAGGCTGATTCAGAATCAGATGCAAAGGCTTCTTCATGCCCACGTGACTTGGAGGGACAGTTTTCCAAGAGCACAGTATAGTCTTGAGTCACTGGGAGACATTCCATTGATCTTTCTGGGACTGTCCACCTACCTGACTCTGCAGTCAGCAGGGAACGGTGCAGACACCAGAAAGACCTTCCTGCCTTGATGAGTGATGAGTAAGGATGGGGCTCCTGGATCTCTCATGTCTATGGTCTGCAAGGGTGTGGCTGAAGCCCTGGAGCCTGAGCCAGAAGAATCTCCTACATGTCCTTCTAATCAAAGGTCTCTGTGAAACAGTGAATCACGGAATGTCAGACCAGGAAGGGCCCCTTGAGACCTTCTAGTCTGAGGTACTTGTTTTACCCACAAGGCATCTGGAGCCTGAAGAGAAGGTACTTTCCTGGAGAAAAACTAAGTTGTTCTTCAGTGGCCACACCCTGTCATTCACCAACTAGTGACTCAGGGCAAGCTTCTTCAATTCTCTGAGCCTGCTTCCTTGTCTGTGGCAATAAACATGCCTGCATATTTATCTTGGGGACTAAATGAGATCGGCTGTGCAAAGGCACCCAGCCTCATGCCTGTCACAAAGTAAACACTTGGTGAACTGCTGGTGCTACTACCCATGGTCACACACAGTAGGACTACAAAGAGAAGTGAATTCTCTGGGTTATACAGCTCTGCCCCTTGCTTGTGGCATACTCTTTTATCTCTAATTCCTTCTGGCTTTTTCTTCTGACCTGGAGGAGCCCCATCCTGGGTGGGAGAGCCAGTCCTTAGAGGGATGTGTGGGGCTGACTCACAGTGGGCAGTGGCCCTGGAAATTCTGTCCTGGGGAAGATGCTAGCAGGGTGTCCCTGCTGCCCAGCTAGGGCTGGGCTGTGTGAAGTCTTCTGGGATCTGGGTTTCCCCTTCCCAGGTGCCTCCTTGCTCGTAGTTTATCTGTGCCCTCCATTGGTGCAAATCCTTCATCTGTTTTAAAACCTCTGCCCTAGTCCAGGCCCCAGAATATATAGTTTGGACACTGCACTAGCCGCCTATCTCGATGCCCTGCCTCCTGTCTCACCCCATCTACTTTAGTCCTTACATTGCCCTAGCATGGCCTTCCAGATCCCACCCTAAAACTTTAGAAGACTAGTCCTGGCTCCGTAACTCTCCACAGGACCTTGGGAAAGTGACTTTCTCCCTGGGCTTCAGTTTTCTCTTCTGTAAAATAGACTAGCTTCCTTCTAGATACAGCATTCTCTAAGCTTTGGGAGCTGTGAAGAGGGTGGGGTCAGAGTTTTGGGATCCCAGGACCGGGGTGGGTTCTGGCCTGAGCTTAGCTGGGTTCACATAGGACCATCCTGCCCAAATGGCTCTCCTTGTTTTCAGCACCAGGGACAGCATCTCTTCCCTCTTGGGCTCTGGCTGTGGGTCAGGGTTATGAAGGGCACAGGACCAATCCAGGAGATGCCCTGGGGAGTGCAGCTGGAGGCTGTGACTGCCTCTCCCTTGTGTGATGGGACAGATGATATGGTCCCTGGAGTCTTTCAGTCTCTAGGGATCACAGAATTATTGCAAGCAAGTTGGCCCAGTTTCTAGAGAGAGGTTACATAAAGTCACTCCCTAGATCAACAGATTTCAGAGACTGGACAGGTATTAAACCAGTAGAGGAGTTTTCTATGAGATTGCAAGACCTTTCTTCCTGCCTAGAAGAAATGGAATTAAACTCTGCTGAACCACACTTCAAGCCAATGTAGAGTTGGTGGAAGGAAGACCCTCAGTAGCCTGAAAGGCTAGGGTTCTGGGGTCTAGTCCCAATTCTATAGGGGCCTGGACTTCAAGCTCCCCATTTGTGAAATATCAGAGGTTGGGGGCTAGCTGCAGTATCTAGCATTTCAAGATTCTGTGGCTCCCCAGCCCAGGGACTTAGAGTGGCCTGGGCAGGTCCTGATCAAAGGTAAATTTCCTTCCAAGTTGGTCAAGCTTTCCCAAGGTCTAGAAAGGTTGGGGAGGGGTTTGGGATCATGTGGTAGTGAGACTCGCCTCAGGGTGTGTGTTGTGGGGGTGCTTCAGGGGAGGGAGTGTAAAGTACAAGCCCCACAGACCCATCTGTCGTCTCACTGGGTTACAGGATGTGACAGGCAGGAGCCAGGACAGGACAACCTCCCCTCTCCCATGCTGCCCAGTCCTCTCTGTGAGGTGGGTCACACACCATCTGTAGGTTTGCATCTACATTTGTGATGGAATGGATAGGTTCAACTCCAAGTATTAGGGGTGAAGGTCTCATCTATGTGACAGAGGATGCCATGTGCATGTATGACTGAGACCTGCTGGGACCATATGTGACTGACAGCACTTGAGTGTGTCTGCTTGTGCCTGTCTATGCAAAAGAAATATGTATTAGCCAACGTGACTGTGTGTGAGAGACACAGGCAGATGTATTGATGGTCTCATTGATTCCTGGAAAGCTAGCTATTCCAATATCCCAGAAGCTGGGATGGTTTCAGAAAAGACAATTCTTCCTCAACAACCTCCCCCTCACCCACCCCATTAAGGCTAGCTAGTCCTGTCAGCCTTCCCCCCTCCAGTGGGACTTCTGAAAGATAAGTGGGGTGAAAAAGGAATAATAAAATTCCCTTTTCCCAGCCTGGGGTCTTACCATCCCCTTCCTGACCCTCCATATGGTCTAGGTGGGAGAGGGAATTGCCAGAGTGATTACAAGCTCCCCCTCCCCACTGCTTTTGGGGGCTATGTACCTGCCCCACCCCAGCCTCTTCATATCCCCATAGGCAACTCCATTCTTAATTTTCTGGTCCCCTAACCTGTGACCGAAATGACTCCTATGGTATAGTCCCAAATGGAACACCACCTGCCTCCCATCAAGCTCCCCGGGCAGCCCAGCTTCAGCAGGGACGTCCCTCTAAATGCTCAACCTGTTCGGCTCCCTCCTTCCATCCCAGGAGGAGAGGACCACGCTGCAAGGCTGAGGAGGTTTCCATGGAAACCCAAGCAGGATGGTGTGCTGCTAGGAGAGGGAAAGTGCCCCATGGTAGGCCTGGGGAGGAATGGGGGGTAGAGAGCCCACTGAGCAGGAGGTCCAGAGACACAGGGTGAGCCCTCGCTCAGTTTCCAGGGTTCTCCTGCAGACGTCTCTGTCCAAGCCAAAGTCAGTCAAAGTTAACTCAGTCCCCCTCGCAGTTCTGCTCTCAGTTTTGCTTCTCCAGAGGCCTCTTCACACAACTCCCTCTCCATGCTCAGACCCACCTTGAGAATGCTTGTTATTTTGAGCTGGCCGGATCCTGCGGAGGCCTCAGACTGGCAGGTTGTGAGGTCCGTGTGTGACAGGGCTGGTGAGGATACCTGGAAGAGGGAAGGCAAATGAGGGCACGCCAGAGAGGGCACACTGTAGGAGAGGCGGGAACACTGGACCGTGGAGTAAGCTGAAATTCAGTGGGCAGCTGGAGGGCTGCAGGGCTGTGCCTGGCGACTGCCCCACTGCCCCATCATCCTGACTGCCTGCAGCCATCTTTCTAGCCTGCCTTGTGTGCCCGCACCCTTAGAACCAGGGGTCACGCCGCATATCGGCTCTAGAGTCATCTCAGCCCTGCCTCCAGCCAGAGCCCTGTCAGAGTGAATTTGGCAGCGTTCTCAGAGAAGCCTCAAGCCTGATCTAACCTTGTTCCTTCTCTGTGCTTTCCGGGGGGCGCGGGTCACAGAAGGGGCCACCAAGAAGCTACGCAGCAACATCCGGAGGAGCACAGAGACTGGCATCGCCGTGGAGATGCGGAGCCGCGTCACGCGCCAGGGCAGCCGGGAGTCCACCGACGGCAGCACCAACAGCAACAGCTCCGAGGGCACGTGCGTGCGGGGCCGCCTCTCCTCAGCCGGCTAGTGTCCGAGCCAGGGGTCTGGGGGTGGGGCTCCCCTTTTGGCTTCCAGCTCGTGTCTGGGTTCCTCTGTGCCTCTGCCTCCCCAGCCCATCCCCAGGACATCCGGTGCCTGGGCCCCGGCCTTCCTCCTGTCCCTGGAGCTCTTCTAAATCTATGACATTGCAGTTAGAGGCTAAGATGTTCTGCTTTGGCTTCCACAAGGTCCGGTGGTTTCAGGCTTCTGTGGCTCTGTTGTTTAAGGGTCCGTGCAGGAGTGTGAGGAGACCCTGGTGTTCATGGCATCTGACCCTGTGCGGGGCCTCCCTGGACACTCCCGATCAGTGCCTCTCACTCTGGGGTCCACCAGCCACCGTCAGACCAAAACCAATGTCTTATTTAACCCTCGGCAGCCCCAAGGGATGTTGGTACTGCCATCATCGCCACTTCACAAGTGTAGAAACTGAGCATGGGAAGAAGGTGAGGTAGTTTACCCAAGGTCGCACCAAGAGGCGGTGGTGGTGGAGTCAGCATTTGAATTAAGGCCATTTGACTGTATAACCTTTGTTCACAACCTCCACACTCTATGCCAAGCTCCCCAAACTTGGTGACCTCAGAGAGTCTGTGTTTCTTCCTTAACCTTTCAGACCCCGTTCTTGTAAGAAGACAGTACTAGGCAGTTGCTGCCTGTTGCCAGTAAGGACAGCTGGGCCTCAAAGCCCCTTCATGGGGAGTGAGACTGACGCTTCTGGGGGAGACACACAGGCCCTCCCAACATGCTCATGTAGCTGTTCTCCCCTCCTGGCCTGTCACTGGCCAAGGGGACTCGAGGCCAAACTATCCAACAGGGATTTGTTCTTGGAAAGCCTTTGATCCCTCTGCTCAGGAGCCTGGGCTAGTCGAGGAAATCTAACTGACTTGGTCTGTCATAGCTGCTGAGCCCACCCGGATCAGCCCTCCCCTGTGTTCTTTCCCCGCTGATCCCACCCGAACATCTAGGCTGGTCGTGTCTCCCCTGCACGATAACTACAACAGCAGTGCTGACTGCCACTCACCGCTTCTGTTGTCTGGAACTTCTCTGCACGTCTGCTCTAATCTTCACCATGACCCCGAGGCGGGCATCATCTCTGTGTTGCAGGAGAGGCAGGTCTCTTACCTCCTGCAGCCTCTGTGTTCTCATCTGTAAAATTGGGCAATAGTGCCTGCCACAGAGTGGAAGTCAGGATGAAATGGTTAATGCACGTGGAAGGCTCAGTGCCCTGTTGGTGCCTGGCCAACTCCCCGTCACTGTCAGTTTTTCTTGTTACTATTCCCAGACCCCCACAGCCACAGACCTCCCACCTTGCCTCGCCATTAATCCCGATCCTGTGGGTGTCCTATTTTGGTCTCTGTTGCTGTTTGGGGCACAACCTCACATTATGGATTTGGATTTCAAACTTAGGGTGAACTCAAGCTTAGTTTTTGGAATTTGCTCCAGGTATCAGAATTTCCAGCCTCTCTCTCTAGTTCTTGGCATTAGCATCCCCTGTTGAGATCACAGGTATCCAGCCAGTCCTGCCTTTTACGGATCACCTTGGAAATCCCTTAGTGCTTGAGGATTAAATCTTCAACTTTATGTTTGTCCCTTAAGTGACAGCAAAGTACTTTCTTTAATGTGCAGAGATAAACAGTTGTCAGCCTCCAGCCAAAGCAGCGCATTCACTCTAACAAGAGGGGAAACTGAGGCACAGAGGAATGTCCAGTGTCCCAGGGCAGAACCACTGATTCCCACACCATCCAGACACCCTCACTTGCCGCTCTGCCTCCTTCTCCAGGTTCATCTTTCCCACCACCCGGCTGGGGGCCGAAAGCCAGTTCAGTGATTTCCTGGATGGGCTGGGACCAGCCCAGATTGTGGGCCGACAGACACTGGCCACACCACCTATGGGTGAGTCTTCTTGAGGGCAAGTGGGTGGAGTCATGACGGGCAAGCAGCGGAAAGGGCAAGTGTTGCAGTTCAAGAAGCAGAAAGGAGCCCTTCCGTAGACTTTTGTGCCAACAAGGAATTAGCATAGCACTCTTCAGTCCCTCCCTCCTCAGAGACGGAGGGGGACCAGCCCTTCTTTGCCAACTGCCCTGCAGCAGCTTTCATAGCGGCTCCCTCCCTCACTTCACCACCCACTCACCCACCTACTGTGTGCCCAGCAGTTCTAACTGCCCGGCTTAAAATGGTGAACAAAAATCATCACAGCGTTGACTTTCATGGAGTCCGTGCTATCACCAATTCTCTGTGACCTTGGGCAAGTCCTTTCCCTCTAGTGAGCCTCAGTGGGTATAATGGGAGTAACACCCACCTTACTTCTGCAGTCTAACAACGATTGGAATTCCTGTTCCATGCTTAGAAACTGTCTCATTTGACTTGATACTTCTAACAGTGCCTGGGTACTGGAAGCCTTTCAGTAATTTTCTCATGCCTCTCCCCTGCACATAAGGAGTACTTATCTAGTCCTCTTAGCTGCTGTTCTGGCTCCCTCCCACCCGCCCTGTCTCTCCCTTAGATACTGGCTGTGTTGGCTTCAAGCAGCTTCCCCTCCCCCCATCCAAGACGTAGCTTCACTAGAGATGATGCCTCCTCACCTCCAACCCCTTCCCCATCATTCTGATCTAAGCAGTGTCTGACCCAGACATCTGCACTCAGCCCTCATCTGGGCAGAGATTCTGGGTACAGAGAGTGCCCTGCTGCAAGCCATGCAGTGGACTCCAGGCAGGAACTCTTCCCACTGCACTGCCCTGACTTCCTCAAAAGTCCTCACATAGGAGCCTCTGTCTGATGGAAGAGGGGTCTGCTGGGACCCTCAAAGGGTGAGCATCAGCTCCTATCTGGCTCTTGGGTTAGATTTGGCTAATTCCAAGACCTTGTTTTCAGGCTCTTATGGGCCTGGTGAGTCTGCTTTTCCCAGCCCTAGGCTGAGCCCAGCCACTTCCTCAAGGCTAATGTGCCATCACAGCCTAGAACTTTTGTATGTAGTGCCCCCTGCTGTCCAAACTCAGACGGACAGTTTTGCATTTGCTTCCCACTCCCTTCCCCATGGGGAGGACAGGAATAGCTGGAGGGAGGAGGCTGAATTCCAGGATGACTCCTGAAAGTAATAAATCCCAACTTTCCAAGTGTGCAAATACAAACAACTGCACAGTGGCACAGAGAATATGAACTGGGTAGCTGAACCCAAAGTCTGGCCCATTTTAATTTTTCTGCATCAGGCTTCTGACTGTACTGCTCTAAAGGATGTTCCAAGTGACTAATGCGTCGTTTCAAATTCTGCTAACCCATTTTGAAAAAAGCTAAGAGTTCTAGAAATCAGATAAGTGACATGCCTCTACACACACACCTTGCCCAGTGGGAAAATCCATTTCATGGGAGCATAGCGAGGGGTTCTTTGTTCTACTCCCAGAAATTCTGCCAGCCCTCCCTCCATACTTTGGCGCAGGTACAAGCATGGCCTCATTGCCTGGGAGTTAGTGCCTCGTGTTCTCTGCAGACTCCTATCTGCATCTCTTCAAACTGCTGTTCTTTAAATACTTGTTTGACATATGTTTAGGGGAGTGGCTGCAGGCTGCTGTACAGGGGAAGGTGAAGAACCACTGAGCCCACAATGTGGGAAGCTCTATCTCCAAACTTGCCTATTCTGCTCAGTAAAACAGGCCCCCTACTTAAACTGACTTAGATGGCAGTCTGGCAGCCATTAGTTATTTCTCAAGCCTGTCTATTGGGGGATCCTCTCACCTCACTCCAAGGGACCTGTCAAAACATTTCTCAGCTGCTTTAAAGTGGTCTCCAAGTTCTGCTGCAGACAGTTTTCTCCATCTTGTACCCTTTCTGGTGCTGGAGCATCCTCTGCAGACTGGGTTGTGCAGCCCCTTGGTCTGACTCCTGAACTCTCCCCCTCGCCCCTCCAGGGGACGTGCACATCGCCATCATGGACCGGAGCGGCCAGCTGGAGGTGGAAGTGATTGAAGCTCGGGGCCTGACCTCCAAGCCAGGCTCCAAATCCCTCCCAGGTGAGGCAGAGCAGCTGGAAGAGGGGTTTGGAAATGGGGTCCTGTCAGGAAAGGGTACACAGCTGAGCTGGGTCTGTGGAGTCTTTAGTTCCCCTTCGGCCTAAGTCAGTATTCTCAGCCTTGGAGGCCCCGTGACCTGGAAGGCCCGTGAACAGGGCTGGGGGCAGAGGAGGGTGCGAGGGTCAGGGTTAGAGTCAGTTCCTCCCACCTGCTGTCCCCTGTTCAGCTCATGCTGGCCACCCTGCTCACCTCTAGGACCACCTGGAGGTTAGGAGGTGGGGTAGGCCAAAGCAGTCTCTCCTGAACATCTTTCCATCCTGCTTTCTCCCCTCTCTCAGCTACTTATATCAAGGTTTACCTGCTTGAGAATGGGGTCTGCTTGGCCAAGAAGAAGACAAAGGTGGCCAAGAAGACCTGCGATCCCCTGTACCAGCAGGCTCTGCTCTTTGACGAGGGGCCCCAGGGCAAGGTGCTGCAGGTGAGTGTTCTGGGGGCAGGAGGCAGGGCAGACTCTCCAAGGCAGCAAGTTGTAATTTACATATTTTTTTGTATTTATGATTTATCCCATGCCAGACCCATTAATATGCCTTACCTATTTATTTTCACAACCCAGTGAGGTGTTACTGCCCCTAGTTGACTCACAAGGAGGCCAGATCCAGGGGCTAACTCAACTGCACCCAGGTTTGCATACCTGGCAGGAAGAAGCAGGGCTTGTTTTGCCTCCTCTTCCTTCCACCTGGTGCTGTGTCTTGTGTGTTGGATCCGCCAGGCTCCACGTTAGGTGCTTTTCAGTCCGATCTCGTTTCTCCTGTGACATAAGGATGATTCTCCCCACTTTACAAATGAGGGGCCGGGGTCTCAGAAGGATGAAATGACTTGGTGGAGGTCTCCGCTAGCCACTTGCTGAGTTGAGCCCAGGCCAGGGGTCTCTCACCTGTCCTGGAGGGTGATGACACCGCCCTTCACAACTGTGCTGGAGGGAGAGATCATCATGCCATCTACTTAGATAAAGGACTTAGGCCCGCGAAAGGTTAAATGTGGACAGAGCACAGTGGTGACTGGGCTCTGGGTTCAGTCCTGAGTTCGAGTTCCAGCTCAGTCACTACGGTGAGTAGTGTGTTGCGAAGAGTACGTGCTGGGCGTGTGAGAGGGCCACGCTTGGTGCCTGCACACAGCCAGCTACTCCGCGGGAGCAGTGGTGCTGGGATTGGCCTAGTGGGGGGTCATGAGGTGGCAGAGACCCTTGAGCCCTGGGCCAGCCCTGCTGTGTGACCTCCATCTAGAGCTTGCCCTCCAGGTTGAGCTGGTGTTGTGGCAGGGACCCTTCCCTTGGGGTTGCAAATTGAAAGACCCACCGAACCCTAGGGTTCTGTGGGATCAGGGGTGATCTAGGGTGTCTCTTCATATGTATATATGAAATATACAATTTGTTTTTTGAAACAAATCATTTCAAAAAAGGATTCACTGATAGAAACAAATTTAAAAACTACTGAGTTCCCAGTTTTATTGGATGGGAACAGTGAAGCCCAGTGAGGCCCCGGCCCAACCTCCCCAGTGGGCCAGCGCAGCAGTGACCAGCCCTTCTTGAGAAAGGCTGTTGGAGGTGCTGGGCGGCTCTGGGAGTCAGACCCAGGTTCTAACCCTGGCTCTGTCACCAATTAATTACTGTGCCTTTGGGCTAGTTCCCCTATCTGAGCTATATTTTTCCTTTGTGGAGACAGCAGTACGGAGGGCCTGCCAAGGAGGCTGTAAGAGTTGGGATAATGTATCCAATGTCCACAGGACAGAGCCTGGCACATCTCAAGTGCCCAGTCAGTTGTGACTAAATTCAGACTGGATTTTGGCTCCCTCTGTCCCATCTGTGCCCTGGTGAAACCTGTAGGTCCTTGGACCACTGCCCAGCCCTGAAGCCTGGGAGTGGCTCAGCTCATCTCCCCTACCCTCCGCAGGTGATCGTCTGGGGAGACTACGGCCGCATGGACCACAAGTGCTTCATGGGCATGGCCCAGATCATGCTGGATGAGCTGGACCTGAGCGCCGCAGTTGCCGGCTGGTACAAACTCTTCCCCACGTCCTCAGTGGCAGACTCTACCCTCGGATCCCTCACCAGGCGCCTGTCGCAGTCCTCCCTGGAGAGTGCCACCAGCCCCTCATGCTCCTAAGGACCTCAGGAAGAGGAGGGATGTGGTGTGGGAAGGGGTACCTGCAGGCACCCCACCTCTTCCCCTGTACATAGTCTAAATGTCTTTCTGAACCCCTTGCCCTGCTGCATGCCTGTTGGCTACTGGGCCCGTCCCAGTTGGCAGTGGAGACTGTAGTGTGTGTATGTGTGTGTGTGCGTATGTTTGTATGTGTCTCCGTGTGCCCGCGTTCTAGCCGTTCGTTTGTCTGGGTATAGTCAGTCTTAGTGACTACATGGGCTGAAATTTATGTCTATGTCTCATTGAAAAGAAACCCAAAGGAGTGTTGTGTAGACACGACTCCCCAAGTCCAGGGGTGGAAGTGGGGACGTGGCCATGGGTTCATCCTGCCTGGTCCTGTGCCCAGGGCAGAGGCCCCCAGTCCGCCCCCCTCGCCCCCCGCCTCCTCTTGGCAGTCTCTGCTTAGTCTTCTGTGTTGTCCTTCGTTCCGCCCTTTGCCTCTCCCAGCACTGCTGCTCTTTTGGAGGAATGTAGCGTCCACTGCAGCTGGCCCCTCTGAGGCCCCTCTGGGAACCCCAACACCCCTCCTCCCCACCTGAATGCTGTGACTGCTCTTCTCACTGGATACATCTGCAGCATGTAGCATGCACCTCTAGTGCCCTGGCCAGGGCCCCGGGAGCAGCAGATGCCCGGAGAGCTGAGGCTTGGAGAGTACTTTCTCCCTGGGCTTAGAGCCACTCCTCCCTACAAGGAAAACACACCAGTCTTAATTCCCGGGACTGCTGGCCTGAAAGCTTAGAGGGAAGTGCGGGTGCCTCCCTTACCATTGTTCTTCACCTCCTGTTCTCTCCAGGCCTCTGAGCCTCCCACCTGCCAAAGGAGCTCTCCCAACTGACCACTGGAGGTATAGACTGGAGGTCTTGACATCCTGGAGGCTGGCCTCAGAGGGGATATCTGCCCAAGCAGCCCATCCCTGGAGGCACGTGTGTCCTCCCTACGCACTGCAGGTGGCCCTGTCCCCTTCCAGGCTTGTCCTGGGGGAGTCTGGGCTGAGGACTGCTGAGGGCCAGGGCAGTTTGCTAGATAAGGAGAGAAGTGGAGACTCCGGTCTGGCCTCTGGGGATTAGCTGCATGACATCTGTCATTTGGGGCTCTGTTGTTTTGCTCATTTCCAGACCAGGCCTCTTGTCCGGGAGCTTAGGCCTAGGCTCTGGCCTCTTGGCTCCGTGGACAGCCCCGCTCTAGACTGCCAGCGTCACCAGCTCTGTACAAGCAATACTTACCCCCTCGCCTCCCTGCCTTCTTGTATTCCACCGCTGCCCTCTGGAAGTGGCCTGGCCTGCTCCAGCCACCTCACCTGCCTCAGCTTCTTTCTACCCTTGTCTGGTTGGAGCTTCCAAAAGCCACGTAAAACCCTGACGTGATTTGACACCTGGGCCCTCTTGGTGGGACCAGTGCCTGGACTGGATCTTGCTAGGACCTCTGCTGGGAATTCTGAAGGCGGGCTCAGGAATGTTCAACTCTCTCTCTCTCCTCGGGTCTAGGGTGAAAGGCAAGAGGTTGCCCTGTTGAACACAGCAGCCCTTGGGTCTGGGTCTGTGGGGAAGAAAGTAGCAGCAGGTGGGGTCAAGGTATGGACACAGATCTCTGTTTGCCTTTTGTGGAAATGCTCTAACCCACATGCTCGAGGCAGGGGCCCACTACCCAGGGTGGCAGTGACGAGGTCTCAGGGCTGAGCGCTTGGACGCCATTCCCAACCAAAGCTGATGAGTGTGGAAGTGGGTTCTGAGGTAGTAGCTGTCTCGAGATAAAGCCATCTCTACCCAAAAGGCCTCCTTTCCTGGAGGGATCTCCACTAGGTTGAAGTCAGAGCCCTCTACCCCCGCCCAAAGAAAACCAGGGGAAGAAGCCAGGACCCCAGCGGTGCTGCCCACAGACAAAAAGTAGACAAGGACAGTGAAGAAGGCATCCTAGGACCAGAATGAGCACCTGGCCGCATCTCCGGCCTGAGCTCTGTGCATGTGTCACCACAGACAAGAACTGTCACATGCGTGGAGAGGGAGGAGGCAGCTGGGTTGAGTTTTCTTGTTATGCAGAAATTCTCTCCCATCGTTGAACTGGGGAATGCGTGCATTTCTCATGTTTCTAAAAATGATGCAAAGGGCTCTCTACTCTGACTCCAGGGGAGAGGGCTAGGAAACTCTCTTGCAAGAGGGTATTTTTATGTCCTGTCTGTGATGTCTTCACCTCTAGAGCAGTCACCCTAGGGTGGTGTGAAATGCACCTTTGGAGGGGTGCGATTATATTAGCGAGTGGAAACGTTTGCTGATGTGGCACCGAGCAGAGATACTCAGACCATGCAGTCAGACTCTGCTGAATGGGGGCTTATCAATGAGGATCTTACCCTTGCTTCTCTAGGGGTCCCCAAGACAGTGAGAGATGGTAAGAAGCTGCCAGCAGAGGCTGCTGCTGGGTGTAGCGCAGGCTGTAGGCTCTGATACCCCTTGCCTTCAGGCTGGGTTAGTGAGCACGGGGGAGGTTCTAGTGAGGTGTTGGGAACCTGGGCTGAGCTGCCTGCAGTCAGCAACTCCAGAACTTCCCATGAATTAGACCACTCTTCTACCTCCCTAAGCTCACCTTGTGGAATTATTGTTTTTGATGCTCTGCACCAAATAAGTTACTAACCCTCACCTGGATTTCCCCCCACGAGGGTGAAGTCTTGAGGCTGATGTGTATGTATAATGGCTGGATTTGAGGGTCTATTTGTGAGCATCTTGGATGCAGGGACTTGTCTGAGAGGGCTTCTGGAGCTGGCCTTTCCCAGGAGAGGAAGGAGCACCAGTCACTCCTGACCTTCCCTGGATGGGGAGTGTCTGTGCTTTGAGGAAAGGTGGTGGGGGCTGCGGAGAAGGAACGTGAATTCTCCCTCTAGAATTCCCCCTAACTTGAAGCCAACACTCTCTTGGCTCCCAATGCCCCCCAGCCCCAGGTGAAATGCAGGCTGATGACAGGACGGGACTCTGTCATTCTACCTTCCTCTGCTCAGCAAGGATTTGTGTAAAATGTGACCTGCAGTGAGGCAGGCTGTGAGCAGGGGCCGTGATGGGTGACTCAGAGCATGTGCCTGCGTGGTCCTGCTCTCTTCAGTGTGTCCCACTTCCGCCTAGACTGCTTCCCTACGTGGAGGGCTGGGATGGGCCGCTGGTATGAACGAGGCATCAGTACTACAGGCCAAGTCTTGGTCTGACGAGGAAAATTCGATCCTTCGGGGAAGAACCATCTCCAAAATTACGCCCTAGTCTAGTCTCTTCTGCCACCCAGCTCTCCCAGGAAAGGAGCACTTGAGAGGCGATCAGGGTCCAGCCAGTCCCAGGTGATGAATGCTTTCCTTGCATGGGGCTGAGGCAGAACCCAGGCGCTCCAGAGCGAGGGCACCCCCGTAGCTCATTACTTGTGAGATCACTGCCAGTTGGAGCACTGGGGACAAGCCTGTTCTCCCAAGGGCGTGACACACGCTGGACCTAGGATGCCTGAGCTCTTCTCTACTGCCAACCTCGAAGAGAACAGGATCCCCCCGCCCCTCCCACTTAAAGACAATAGAGACCTCCAAGGGTACTTTAGAAATGAAATGTAGCACAATCCCAGACTGCTTTCTCAGGAGCCCTGACATGCACCCAGGGTTCTTGCTGCATATCCTGCTGCCCAGGAGTCGCTGCGCTCCTCCTCGTCTGGGGCTCCAGAGCCTCCAGTACCTTCAGTTCCCCACCTTCCTCCACCCAGGAAGCAGCAGGGCCTCAGCAAGGCTGCTCTTTGATTGCTTCCTGCACTGTGCAAACTCCATGCAAGAAATCTCTGCCTTTGCTTCACCTGGTAGACAAGCTGTCCACCTGAGTGGAGAGAGAGGCCCCTCCTTCAGGGCCAGGAGGCTGAGCAGCAGTGATCTGCAGTGACTGCAAGGAGACGGAAAAGAAGAGGCCTTCTTCCCTGCTGATTCCTGCCTTTCCCTTCCCTCTCCTCGGCGGTTTCCTCTCCAATATCCTGACACGTGAAGGGGTTCTTTAAAATGCTGCTTCCTGTACTGGATTACCTTTCACTGAGTGGTCAGGAAGGAGATGGGAATGTCCCCTGCTTTCTCCCAGAAGAGATTGGACTGAACCAAACCACCATGACTGAAGGGCAGGGGAGCCCCGCCCAATCAGGTGAGGCCTGATGGGAGCTGGACTGGCCGGGAAAGGGTAATTTTGAAAGTGTGCCTGAGCATCTCAGAGCAATGTCAGTGATGCCAAAGAGAGCAACTTGGCCTCCTTGGGCACCAACTCTGCCGGTGGAGCCATGAATGTGGTTCAGGTGTTGGCACGCCCCATGGTGGGACCTTGTTCTCTGACAAAGGGCTTAATCTTTCCATGTAGCAAAGCAACTCCCCCCCCCCCCCCCCCCAACCCCCCCCCCCCCCCCCCCCCCCCCCGAGCTTGGGCTCTTGTGGGCCCAGCATGGCTGTGCCTGTGAGGGAAATCACACCAGTGAGAGAAACTTGTGTTCTCTCAGCAGCCTAGACTGGCTTGGGGCAAGTGCTCATTGAAATACATGAGTGTTACTGCTTTGGGAAAACTTTCCAAGGCTCTGGCTGTTCTCAGCCAGTGAGAACAGGGGCCTTGTGCCTGTCAAGGTGTTTCCAATGCGGCCAGAAAGTGTCCCTGGGACAGGCATCCAGAGAGCTTGGCTAACAGAATGGGCCTGGGAATTCCAGGAGCCACAGAGCATCTGCCCCGTTGGCCAGTGGCCTGGACAGCTGGCTACAGAGAATCAAAGGCTGTTTTATACAGTTTTGCCAGAGACTGTGACCTCACGCAAGACTCCTCAATTGGCTGGGCCTGAGCATCCTGATCTGCAAAGTCAGAGCTTTTTTGCTGGTTGCTCTTTAGTTCCTCCAGGTTTTTAAAGTCTGATCTGGAGCCGATGAGGATGGAGAACCTGGTGTACCTGGCACCTGGTCCCACGGGCTGGTTTCTTCCAGCCTTGGGTGCCTACACTGGGTGCAGGTCCTCGTCCGGCCCACGCCCTGATGCTGCTTCTGACAAGAACTCTGGGAATCCTCACATACTCTGCTTTCACCTCCTCATGGTTGATTCTCCCTCTTTTATTCTTGCATAATGATGAGAAATAATTAAGGGTTGTCTACAGTGGACAATGTTCAAGGTGCTGGTGTGATGTCACAATCTCAGCTGCATCCTGAGTAAGTCAGTGTCCCCACCAGCAGATGAGGCTGGGTCCTTCTTCATTTCTGCTTCTGGAATGACATGCATGGGAGGGTTGAACATCTGA